TTCCAAACAGACCGACCGAAACGTCGACATAATACCTCCGACTCTCCATTGATCCACATGTCTCTTTTTTATTTAAGAGCGTAGTCACTTTAAATAATGTATCCCCGAACTTGTTACGTATTGTATTTTCTGAGCTCTAGTTACATTCAGCAAAGCCCCAAATTCCTTGTAGCAACCACTTCTCGGGAGCAGCCGACAGACGCCAGAACAATGAAGCCATCCAGATAACATGTTTCCCGGCTTGTATCAGAATGCGAGTAAACGCTTGTAATTCTGAAAGTGATTTATTGGGTTACATCAGTTCGAGAGGCACAAGACGGATTAAGGAGAGGGCGTGGCCTACAATCGCCCCCATGTATAGCGTAGGCGGGACTGGTAAGACTCTCTTGGACTATGGAAGCTGAGTTGACGGTACGCCTACGACGTTAATTGGATCAGCAGAATTGGTTGGTGCTGAGATAGTTTGGACTGATTTCGAGAACCTTTTCAAAGTATATGGAGCACAGTTACCAGTTTCCATGCAGAGGACAGTTTTCGGTGCTCAGTGACGAAGATTAGAGCATTATTGGTTCGAGACATAAAAGTGGATCTCGTCCATTGCCACAATTAAGGAACGTTATACGCTTAGGTTGGGATACTGTCAAAGGCAAAAGACATTGGGGACGTATTTTTAGATTGTAACTGCCGGTTGCAATTAAAGCTTGTACGGGTTTCTGTTGGACAGTTCTCTACGTTTTGGTGTTACGTCGTTGACAGAAATCGTTCGGTGAAGACATGTATGCACAAGTGTTTCAAGAATCTATTTTTTCGGTTCAGAAATTGTACAGGGATTCCACAAATGCATGAGTTTGGTTCCTGAGATGACGTCAGAGCAATGCGCCCTCACTAGTCGGGAAGTAACATGGGCATTTAAAAAAAAAAGTGTATAGGTGATGAAAACATTCCACGAAAAGGATTTATTTTTATTTTCATAGAGTTCAGATGATGGACATTCACACAAAATGTTTCATTAAAAAAAAAAACATATTTCCATGGCCCCTTTAAGACCACAGTGCTGTATTATACAGCTTAACATTGGTGCACAAATGCCTCCGTCTAATTCAATGCGCTAGACATTATTTTCAGACCCAACCAATTATGTCCACGGCATATTTTGGAGACGTCTGGCACAGTCGGCAGCCCCAAGTTATTTGTCCAAGTGATATCGTTTCGGGGAAAGCAAACGAAAACGATGTGCTCATTTTCTCACTTCCAATTTCAATCAACATCGACAGTAAATCTGATCAATCTATGATGTAGCCAGGCCACGAAATTGGTTCCCCAACTCTCAGGGGAAAAAATGCAAATGTCTTCACCAATGTACACGTTTTTAAAATAGGTCACTTAAACTAAGTAAAAATTCAATTCATTGAAAATGGGTTACGTTAACACTGAAGTAGCAAAACAGCTAAAAACAAAAAAAGGTCTTTTTCGTGCAATCCCATTAAATGCAATACATTTTATTGTCGGTTTAGGGAAACAAAAGCGGGAAGGAGCTATACTTTTTAATTCTTTAGTTTGTAGTAATTTGTTTTGTTATGTTTGCTAGGTTTTTTTGGCTGTAAATTTTCGTAGCCAATTTCAGGGGCCAGCAGAGGCTCAAAGCAGTAATTGGGACCCAGTTACTTACAATGCTAGTTATAGGGCCGATCTACCGACCTCTCCAATCACAATGCCCTCAGAGGAAGTTGGCAAGAAAATGAAATTACTAGCGCAGATTTATTAAATTTCAATTTTATATGTTGTCAAGGTCTGACTCAGTTCTCGACGAAAAATTTTGGAAATTAAGAGCGACTTTTTTTTTTGGCAAACGCTACCACTGGATATTGATTTGTCATCGGAACATCTTCAAATAATAACGTTATTTGATTTGGAAACTGCACATTTTAACGTCGGATCTAATTTTCAACATCGCCAAGTACATGCTGCATATTGCAGATTTTTGCATTACCGACATAAGTATGCGGAAAACTGCAGACAAGTAATTGCTATTAACGCAACTTCAACGTTAGCTTTTCACCTTTTCACAAGCTTCAGCCTTAAAATAATGTGGAACCAACTTAACTGTTCAAGGTTTTTCAAAGAGTAAGAACATAAATATCAATACGAACTGATTTAGCGCGAAGAGCGGCGGAATATAAAACAACTTATAGGCAAGGCGACGAGTTTTACTAAGAGTCGTTGGGGAAACAAAAATATCTTTTCACTTCGTGATTGAAAAAAATTGCGATTGTCCGTAAACATCCCCAAACAATGCACACCACACTTCTTAAGACTCGAGTGAAATATTCCAAGGAACTGAAAATTCCGTGCAAATCTTCGGGACTTTCTATGCGGTAATTCGTTTAGCATTTTGCTAAATTTACTTACAGAATCGTCCGGTCGAGGTTGAATCAATAATAAAAAAGCGTTGCCAGGCAACCAATGCACGTCAATTATAATGCATAAAAAAAAATGGGAGTATCCTATTCAACATGATATTCTATTGGTTGAAATTATTTGCAAGTTTTATTAAAAAAAAAAAAAATCCGCAGAGTTAGAGAAACGTATAACTGCTATGTAACTTTCACCCTCCCTTCGAAATTCTACATGATTTGTTTTTAGCTGTGAACTCTTTGGTTACCAGCAGATCACAATCGTTGTCAGTAACTTGTCATTGTTGGCGTCATCCTCCGCCCACTTTGTTTTGCAGAAGTATCAACGTAAATAGCTTCCCGCCATAACAGTTTTCGATCGTCTGCTTTGGGTACATCAGTAAATCGGTGCAGGCTGCGTTTGGAAATAAACTGAATCAAAAGGTCATTTTTTTAATCAAACTGATCAGTAATTCTTCATTCTTTTTAACTAGCAACATTTTTTATCCGAACGAAGTACCCTCAACATAATTATCTCAAGAAAAACGTTTTCCCTGCAACTTTGCTGCACGCCGTCTTGGGAAAAATATAGGGGAAAACGACCGATGGTCCGTTGAAACGAAAGCCGCTGAAAACGGTCCTCCAATGGCGCTACGCCCACACGCTGCCGGCCTGCCGCATTGCCAATAACCCCCCCCCCCCCATCACGATTACAACCATAAGTTATTTTTTTGCTGAACGTTCCACTCTTATTAAAGTTTTCTTAGGCGCTTTTGCTAAGTTGCTGATACTTCAAAACTCCGCAGCAGCAAATCAAAATTGTTATGAATGAAAATATTTCAGATCGATCGCTCGCCTGTGGCTATGCTGCGACACACTCGCCACTCACTCGGAACAGATCGGCATACAGTCACGGTGTAGTGTTAAATTAGGACTCTTTGAAATACAGACTTGTCGTTGCATTGCGCATGCCTAAAAGTTAAAAAAAAAATGAGGAGAGTGACAGGTAACGTGTGAGGGTTGAATCCATACAAGGCAAAAGAGACCACATTTCGTAGGAGTCCATATTTCATATGACACCGGATTTGGCTATATATAAGCCCCGCCCCATTACTTTTGCCGTGCGTGCATTTCTCATGGTAACCGAGTCGACCGAGCTACGGTCACCTGACCAAACGTCGTGATCTGATTGGTCAACAACCTTTGTTGACCTTTGGCCTCCCTCTTACTGACTCCCTCGGATCAAATTTGTAATCATGACCCTTCTTCTGACTCCAAAAAAATCAAAGGAACCCTAAATTTAACCAAACACGGAATAAAAAAATCTTTACTTTCCAAACTTGTTTTCACCTAGGGTGGTACATTTTTCTTACAAGGAGACACTACGCATCTCATTCCATAACAGACATCGACAAGGATTTCACGTCAAGTTTGAAATGAACAGTTTTCTACTTTAATCTGAAGATGTCCCACCTTAAAACTTCCGGCAACCATTAAAACAAACGACCATAAAAATCGTTCCTAAAAAGGATTTTCTTGACAAAACCGTAACGATTTAGCGGGAACGAGCGTTCGTCTGCGCATCGATTGATTCCACATTTCTCTTAAATCTGTCTCACATATACCAACTTTTCAATATTTTGACTGATAGACAGCACGCAAAAAAGAAATCCAAAACAACAACCCAAGGTTAACATCTATAGCTCTTTCCTAAAAAAAAATGTAAATTGACAGTCGACAGTATTTCCGTGACATGTAGGCTTGCACTTCTGTCGATAACTTTCCGCTGTGATGCTGTTATAATTCCCCAGGGGCCAGTTGACAAAATGCCTTCAACGCCCGCGTCTAAAATACCTCTCAGAAATCGATGATGACTCTTTTTCGAAACGCGGCAGACGTTTCTTGAGCAGTTGTTTTTGGTTGCCCTCGGTCGTCGTGTTATATTTAGCTCGTCAGGGAAGCGTGCCCCACGAGAGATACTTTTAGGCTCAACAATTTTTGATACAGCGCTCCGCGGTTTAATATCGACGATGCTCGGGTCGCCTGTAAGTGACACTCGATGTACACGTTGATATGACAGTAATGGCAGTTCCTTTACACCCAATCTTACAATAATATGCAAATATACCTTTTTTTCTACGAGCATTTAGTAGAACGAGCGAGACGGGTGAATACATATGTTTCTCAATACCTATGTTCCCCATTTCATATGTTCCCCAACCCTAACCTAACTCTTACCCTAACCCAAATCCTAACACTAAAAGGACTTTGGGGAATATAGGTATGGGGGAACATAGGTATTAGGGAACATCGGGTAGACCCCAACGAGACACACTGTACTTTATGATCTACTTTTCTTTCTTTCTCTTGTTGATTTCATCTTTTGACTTTAGCTGGAAGTCTCGAAACGAACGACTCCCAAACAAAATAAGATAACTGACCTCTATACCCTAATCTTGGTAAATTTCGTTCCTTTTGAACAATTAATGTAATCGATTCCTGGGGCGACGTTTCTTCAACATTCCTTCCAAACCTCGACAGGACGCCCAGCTTTCTATCTCTACCCAATTATTGACATTTTCTTTTGCTTCTTGTCTTCCATTGCAGTGTATTGTGAGATAAACCGGTGGAAACAATGAATAGTCTTTGTCACGTGATCGTCCTGTCGGCCGCCTTTTGTTTACTCCTGGCGCTAGCGTCCGGGTACCCGCTCCAGGAACCAGGAAACGCGCTGACAGAAGACATGATGGAGCGCCGCAGCGCCGCACAGAGATTCACCGTCGATGAACTCCTAAATTTCCTAAACGAACGGTACCAGGAAACACCAGGTAGGTCCATCAGAACTAAGGGAATGAATGTGTGTTTGGGAGGTATTAAAACTCTGTTTAAGACCGGTCGGAGTCTGGATGGGTAATTATCAGCACTCCAGACTCCAACCGGTCTTAAACAGAGTGTATAATACCGACCAAGCACATGTTTATTCCCATTCATAAATACCTTTTCGGTTAAAAAAAAAATCTTTTCGGTCCAAAAGTCAAAAACTAGACTTTGCCAACCATTTTTGTTAAACAATTTTACTTTACGATTTATGAAACACCCCTTTGACTATAATATGGAGTGTTCCTCTACAACTCCTTACCTTATAAGGAGATTGACGTGCGCGTCGCGCGTACTGCGCGATGTCCCGCAAAACGCAGCTGGGCTGGTGTAGTGTGAATTTCGGACTTTGATAGTCTTATTCACTGGTAACATGCTCATGCCTACGTCAGGAATGTGAACGTTTAATCAATGAAACGTTAAAAGGCACCGGATTTCATGGGAGTCCAAATTTCATGTGACACTGGAAAAGTGTTCAAGACCAGACAGCCATGTCTTTAACATCCTTTGAAGACCGGCCACGTGATGGGCTGTCGACCAATAGGAATGGGTAAACTTTATACAGTAAAGTAAAAAAAAAAAATGCCGGACCTGTGTTAACAGGGAACGGAGTGCCCATCTCTCTTTCTTTAGCGATTGGGCCAGACTCAAATGCTGCTGTGGGGGGATCGCCACACCTCCTCCACAGCGAGTCTGTTACCTTCCCAGCATTGGTACCCATTTAACACCTGGGTTGAGAGAAGTAACAACCTCACGACCATGAATCATGTGCTCCACCACTAAACCGCAAGTGCCTAAACTGTATTAGGTATTTATGAATTTGTTTTGAAAGCCATACGGGATAAGATCATTCCCACGTTACCAATAATTACACTACTCGAAATCCAAAGAAGAATGTTCAAAACCTAACCTGTTGAGGTTTCTGCTCAGTGGACATTAGACACACACTTTGTCAAGTAAAGTTATACGAACTGGAGATCAGAATGAAGTTGAACATTTTGTGTTGATAATTGAGAAGAAAATGCATGAAGCGTTCTCCGGTAATTTTTGCCTTTAGCTCACTTTGGGAGCGCGTGAATTGGTTGCCCCTTGTTGACTATTAATTCAATCTTCTACAAATGTAATTGAAAGTTCCCATTTCTGGCTTTGAAGTTTCCGAAGTGAAAAAAAAAAACCCTAATTTTGACCTCGATTCCCTGAGGTCTCGCCCAATCTGTTTTGATCGTCGGACGGAGAAATGGATCCCTCTTCGCTTTCAGCAAGGTTTGTACAGCGTGAGTGGGAATGTTTTCGTTGAATAATAATGCCGGTTATGTTCGGCCCAAATGATTCAACAATCCCCAGCGGAAGCCGAGTCACAAAAGGGTGGGAAGCCTCCTTTCTGGTGGCCACAGTAAGTCATTCAGTCCTGTAGTCCCGTGAATTTCTCTTTCAATTTTAGCGAGGGATGTCTGATCAAACAGAGCGAACAACTGTATACCGATTGGATTGCTTTTGTCACGCCTACGACAGAGCTAAGGAAGAAAGAAAGCTATTGATTTTCTTGTGGGGAAACTTTTCAGCATTCATTGGATACCTTTGGTATAGGGGATCAATGCCGGCTTTGTGGCTTTGTAGTAGCCTTTGTATCCCTCGAGAGCAGAGGTGCGAATCAAATTACGTTCATTCATACATACACCTCATCGCCACTGAATGCAGTAGTAGTATACTGACCCTGTACACGCAAGTACAATATCTCGCAGGTAGTTCATCACTTATCTTCAGTAGATAGCACGGGTTATGTTATCGCAATGTTGTCAATGGCAGTGTTTGGATCAGAACCGGCACAAGACTAACATGCCCTCGGGCGCCATAAATCGCAATTACCGTTTGCATGGGGAGCATTTCTGAAATTAACAGCTGGAAAAAGATATTCACACTTTGAAGATATAGACAAAAATCATGTTTACATCTTGCGGTGTTTTGTACAAACAAGGGTACTTGTTTGTCAAAAAGTTTCATCGCATGTGGTGAAATTAATCGAATAATTTACGCCATAACAGTCACTTGTAAGAGTATACATGTGGCTAGTGTTGACAAAGAAATACTTGATCTTTCGGCGCTTATCCAGAGAGTTTATCTGCGAACAGAAATTTCTCCAGCAGTTTTCAATTTAGCTCAATAAATGACAATTTAGATGGTGGCATGCGTCAGCTCAGAGGCGTTTTCAGCGCACATTGTTATAGCCCTATAATTTAGCTGCAAGTTTCATCGACATGTGATAGTTTCATTGCTCTTTTGCCCAGTATGAAAAAAAACTGGCTTGCGCAAAACTAGATAAGCTCATTCTAGCTGGATGGATCCAAAGCAAACGACTCTCTTGCCAAAAGATTATAAGGTATATATTCTCCCAAGGGATTACGGTGTAAAAATAATTATCTAGGCCGACCTTGACCCTATTTTACACTCTCCAGGTAGCATGCACAGTCAGCTGTTAAATTCTTACGCGAATAGTGTCAATTATGATCCCATTATCCTTGGACTATAATCCAAAGAGAAGACACCTAAGGTATGTTGGTTTAACTCTATCGACTAAAATTTGCCCCGGGGCGGTCTTGTAAAGTGGCTGTGCTTTTCACCGGTGCCAGCGCACTATTTGAAACACTCAGGGCACAGGCCATCCAGAAGGACATCTACTTTAAAGTAGATTGGTGGCAAAAAGCGGAAAGTGCAAATAACAAAAATAGTGGAAGAAAACTTCACTTCGCTGTTATCCGTGTCTCGCACCCTAAACCAGCGTAGTCCTAAAACATTTATTTCTTAAATTAGGTTGTATTGACTACCATCGTGTGACGTATATGATCTTTTAGAGATTAAACAGGAATAAACTGAAACGCAATCAATGTGAAGCCTGCAATTTATGCCAATTATATATGTTCATAGCTCATTTGCATGCAATTTTGGCTAATTCAGTTTCTGTGAGATTAAATTTTAGATACGACCTTGTCCAATCTGAATTGTCATGTGACCATCTGTATGACATGGCATTTAATTATCCTCACTCGTTAATTTTGTAAATTACAGATGACCAACCAGCTTCCCTTTTTTAATTGAATTTACTCATCGTTTGAAACTTATCAAAGCAAAGAAAGATATCTTGTTTTAAAAGGGGGGAATTCTGACAGACTTCCCCGTATTTTCTCAGTCATCAGACATGTTATTCGAAACAGTCAACCCTTCAGTAACATTTTCCTACTTGTGTCCCACTCGGACAAAAAAAAATCGATATTAGTCTTGACGTTAGCGTTAAAATCCAATCGAAACGTCGAGATTGTGAAAATATTTGTCGTAGGAACGCGCCTACACCATTGCTTGATGGCGAGTGTGATTTCATAATCATTCAGTCGTGGCAGACTGAACAAACTTGTTCGGGGCGTATGACGTCATTTCAGGACAATACAAGTGATCGTGAACATTCCTTAAGCACAAGTGACGATCGCACACACACCCACCCGCTATTTAATGTAATAAAACACATGCGTTCGTCGCGTATTTATAGTAAAGACGGTCACAAACACGGCAGCCGCTAGCACAACACAGCGGGAAAAATGACGACATCGACGGTGTGGGAAGAATTGTTTCCCGCCAATTCTGGGCCCCCTGTTTCCACACACCTGTCCAGCTGAACCACACCTAGTGAGGATCATCATCATTCTAGTCATCACACCGCCCTTATCGTAATAAATAGAGGTGTTATGACACTTTCACAGGTGTCCCAAGCTTTTTTTTACCTCTTGAATATTAAAGAACTAATCAACATTGTCCGTCCATCTCGTCCTAATTCGTACACCTGGGGTCAGTTTCTTGAGGATGGGCCCAATTTCATAGAGCTGCTTAAGCAGAAAATCTGCTTAAGCACGAAAAAAAAGATTGCTTAGTAAAATCAGGTTACCAGCCAAAACTCCATGTGATGGGTACATTGCTTGTGACTGGTATTTAGCTGTTGTTTACTTAGCATAACAATTGCATTGAGTTTTGGCCGGTTGCCTGATTTTATTGAGCAAGACTTTTTTGTGCTTAAGCAAATCTTAAGCTTAAGCAGCTCTATGAAATTGGCCGGCACTGGTAAGCACAGACGATATCTCATCAGCAAAAAACAGTGTACCAGACAATTTGCCAAGTTTTACTATGTTTAACACATGCTTCTCTATCTATACCAATATTTTGCTTTCAACGCTATTAAGCAGCTTAGCCAAGAAATATTCCAAGCGTAGCAAATATTTTCTGAGCAAAAACAGGTTACCAGTCAAACTGTCAGGGGTTTTGTATTGTTAACACTGCTTCTCTTTTGTCTTTTGCTAAGCTGACTGTGTGCTCAACACTATTCCCTGGTTATCAAGTCTATCATTGGGTCTTAATGAGACATGTGCCATAAAAGTGCGACATTCAGAAAACAGATAATTAAAACTGTTTCATGCTTTTTTTTTCTTCAATGAAACTATATTTTACATTAAAGCCTGACTATTTCTCAATCCACTCCTTTTTACCCAATGCCATTTGGGCCCCTAGATCCAGACATACAATCAATTAAGTGAAAGGGTGTAAAGTTTACTGGGGCTGCTCTCACGTGGACATGCTGAATCTGGGTTAACCATTGAATAGGCATTCAATAGGCATTGAAGTTGGTGACATCATACATGCATGGTCCAAGTAAAATTTACACCCTTTCACTTAATTGGTTGTATTTCAGGATCCAGGGACCCAAATGGAATGGGGTAAAAAGGAGTGGATTGAGAAATCGTCACTTAGTCAGGTTTGAATATAATATAAAATTTCATTGAAGAAAAAACGTTAAATAGTTGTAATTATTTGTTTTCTAAATGTTGCACTTTCTTTGGCACACTCTGAATTCTCTTTAAGTAACCTTATTCAAACTATTTGGTGCAAATTCAAACCTTCACGATTGCTTCAT